TAGCTTCTGTGCTAAGATGGAGGTTGCTGGCCAGTCTGAATCTCTCGAACCTGCGTATCCATCGCTCCCAGTCCTGAGGCTTTGCAAAGTCGAATGCTTCAGGTGGTTGGATGGTGAAAGTAGCGCTCGGAGGAGCGTTAGCATTAGCCTGTAGCTGGGGAGGTTGTGGAGGCTGTGCAGCCGGTGCGGCTGCAGCTCCGTCGTCGTCTAACATCTCGCCGCTTGCAGACGTTAACTTTCCACAACTCTCTTTCCAACTTCAACCTAGCTCTTTACCGCTGCCCACGTTCTGACACCATGTCGTGGTAAGCGTAAAGTAATACAGACGGTTTAGAGCATGGTGGTTACTTTATTCAGGCTTGTACTTTCCATGTCATTTCGTAGTAGCATGACCAGTCGTGTCCACCTCCGGTCTCATACATCCTGTTAGCTCTATCACAATAAAAGCATAACAGCTAACACCACAAGTCGCAGGACCAGCCAGACAGGTAAAAAAATCGCGATTTATAGTCCGGAAAATACGGTATAGGCTACATAATATAATTTGTTATGCTATATGTTTCTTATTGTGTAGTGAAATGAACCCAGACAGGGTGATAATGTCCCCGATGCTGAAGCCTGCTTATAACTTGTCATTTGACAAAACAGGGTGATTTCTAAATAATTGATTTTCCATCAAGAAAGATTTTCCGTTCTAGTAAAAACAGCTTGACCTGCGGCAATAGCAATTTAACTTGAAATGACAGCAGCACTGATCGAGGGTTTCTGTCCTGTTACTGTTCACATTTTCTTTGCCATTAAGCAGTCTTTAAACACAGCCAGAGCACATACAGTGTTCCAGTGCAGTTGAGAACTAATTAATTTCGATATGTAGATACGCCACCTCCGGCTAGCAGTGGTCCACTTGGCTACCTTGGCTAATGAAGGCTTTTTAGATGAATGGACATCAATGCAGACTCAAAAAAAGGTTTGACCACGTCCAAAAACGCACACAACAAGAAACTGAAAGGCTTTTTGTTATACAATTTCATCCTTGTCCAGGTGTTTTCATTGTCGAGCTTGTCGACTTGCCTTGTTTACTGGCTCATAAATATCCAGGCTTTATTGACAGAAAAATCTCCTATTTTGCTTTATTTAGGTTGTCATTGACTTTCTTGCAGTTACGTCAGTGTATAGAGGAGTCTTGGTAGTAGTGCAAGATCCACAAGGTTGAGCACCTCGAAAGGTGGGGGGATGGGTTGATTTGACCAGTTTAATATTGTAATATTTCATTCTTATCACAATCATTGATTTTTACAATAGATCAAATTACATGTTATTTAGCTGACGTTTATATCCAAACTGACTTACATAAGCCTAAAAAGTCTAGACATGCCTAGGGGAGAAATGTGGGGTTATCTAGATCAGTGGTTCCCAACCTTTTTTCCCAAGAGCCCCCCCAAATGACTCCTGTTGGAAGTCGCGCCCCCCCCCCCCCCCCCACACACACACACACACACACAAGGGGGGGGCGCGCAACAGCAGTAATTCAAGTTTAAAAGGCTCAAAAAAGCTACAACTACTGTCACAAACTGGATGAATGTGAAGTATTGTGTTAAAGGAGGATGAAAGCGTAATTAAGGAGCACTATTGGAGTGACTTTGATGGTTATTGGACTGTATGACTGTATGAAGAAATTAAAGGACGGCGCAAGTGGAAACAATTCACAAAGGGATTAAACTGTTTAAAACACATGCTCAAAGTAAGCCGGATTTTGCCGATGTGTTTATGTGGATTCAAAAGTCGTAAATAATCTACAAAATGGAGGAGACCGATCTGATTGGAGCAACTGTGACAAATAATCCAACTGAAACCGACATGGACAATGACTATGTTTTAAAAATGCGCTTATCCAGAAAAGCCTGGTTTGGACACTTTATGGGCAGAAGAAACATTTCTATTAAAGAAAGAATTATACATTTCTGTCTTTTTCTGCCTTTAATACTAACTTGAATTTTTATTAAAATTAATTAGTCAATTATTTTTTATATTTTATTGTAATGTAGAGACAAGGCTTTTAGTGACAATCGTGTATTGCCTTACAATTATATGTAAAAAAAGAAAAAGTAAAGAAAAAAAAAAAGAAAGTCTAAATATGATATTTGGCCTCATCATCTGAGGCTTGGCATCCCCCCTGCGATCTTTGGCGCCCCCCCAAGGGGGGCGCGCCCCCCAGGTTGGGAACCACTGATCTAGATGGCTTGATGTGTTGACTGCAGAAGATGGTATGAAAGTTTTCCCCCTGATTTGCAGACCAGCACTTTACCACCATGAGCCACAGCCATCCGTAGAATCAATTGTCACTGATTACAAACACCGAAATATCTAGACTCTAGACCAGGGGTACTCAAATACAAATCTTAAAGGTCCAAAATAAATGTTTCAATAAGACAAAGGTCCGTTTATTACGGTCATTCAAACTTTTAAACAATTGCAACAAGATTCTTAACACAAGGTTGCAAAAACAAAAATAATCTGTATGCAGCAGTTTTCATTGTTATTGTGTCTGTGCTTGATCCCTCAGAGTCGCAGTGTAAGAGCTGCACAGTTAGGAATAAAGGAAGCTGCACCCTCTTTCATTCAGCATTCCCATTATTGCTTTATAAATGTATTCCCCCTTGTGTGTCCACTGAGGTTCGTCAGGCCCAACACATCTTCAACAAACTCCCCCTTTGCCTCATCATAACAACTCACAAACACCAGCAACTGAGCATTGTCAGTGGTGTCAGTGGACTCACCCACAGCTAAGGAAATGCACTGTGCATTTTTTATTCCATCACAAAGCTGATGAATCAAATCACCAGCCAGTATTTCTGTTCTTCTGGTTGCTGTGGAATCTGAGAGGGGGATTTGCTTGATTTCACCTGTTATTTCCTCTTTGTGTTTGCCTTCAACATGGTCTCCATCACTTCAGTCATGCATTCTTTTATACTTCAGTTATTATCCAGTGGAAGGTCCTTACCTACTGGCCTAGTTAAATCAAAGTGGTTACTTTTTTTTGGCTGGGCAGTGTAGTTTTACACACCGTCTGATTTGACTTTCTCAGGACTTAAAACAGTTTTTTGGGGGCAGACCCCCTCAAAGAAAACAATATATTTACACTCGTAAGGTCATCATCTTAATAGTTGTGTATGCTCATCCGTGAGCAGAGCATCAAGTTGACATGTCTATTACAGCTGAATGCGGCGATTACCATTTTGTTCAGCAAAACGCCTCACAAACGTATTAAGATCAACAGCTTCAGTGCGTTTTGATTCAATGCTGAGTACAGTCAAACTGACAGTCTCTTCTCTGTCATTGTAGACCTCAAATACCTCATTCCTTCAGTGCTTGGGTCCGAATGCTTCTCGTTTTGCGCCGTCCAGTTCAAAATGAAATGGCCGCCAATCGTATGTCCACGCTTGCGCCAGGACCGGGGGAGGGGTTACATGACGTGCATCTTGTGCTGCATTCACTTGCACTCGGACATTAGAGACTTTCTCTCATAAATGTCCGATGAGCCACAACTTTTCTTTCAAAACAAAGCTGCCAACTGGAGTGGCAATGCCTATTTTTAGGGTGTCAGTTGCCACCCCAGTAGGTGAAACTAGGCTACTAGCTACAGTACAGATGGAACTAGATGAGCTGTTAACTCTCGCTCTGATTTTTTTTTTTTAAATTCTCGCTCTGATTTAGACAGGTTGAAAGAGACACACACATTTTTCCCACCCGCAGTCCGCGAAGACCCGCCCTACTGTGCCTCTGATTCGCAGATTGTTTGGGGGGAAAAAACGCTGACTGGATGCTGAATGTGATTGGACCAAAGCGTTGACACACACAGGTGGAACACAGTGGAACAGTCAGACATGCAGAGCGCTGTTTGCAGTGGACATAGCGGAGAATTTTGACTCGTTGCGAATGCGTTGTGGCGATGTCTCACATATAATACAGAGAGATAATACATATGAAAACTATAATTTGCTCAGAGTCCGGAGACAGTGGTGGTTCGGTCCGGATCCGGACCGGAGTCCGTAGTTTGAGGATGCCTGCTCTAGACTTCTCTAGTATTAACATCAGTGGGCGGCTATACAGCGTAAAGAGAGAAGCCTCGCTCAAGGACAGATGGTGACCTTGCACCCTTCCTCTCATAAATATGCAGTTTTATCAAAGCAAATTCCAGCAATGTGTTAATTATTAAACTTCAACCGCTGTGAGCAGGATTTGAACCTGCGCGGGAATATCCCATTGGATTTCGAGTCCAACGCCTTAACCACTCGGCCATCACAGCTGTTTCCCATTCTCCTTACTAACTGAATTAGTCACAGTGTTGGCGAAGTCTGTCACGTCTCTTTAAATAGAAGTTAGTGCAAGTGTTGCAATTTTATGACACACACACCCTCTATCTTTCCTGCTCCTAAAGCCCATGCTCCTAACAACACAGACTCTTATGTTCAACCAACCCCTTGCATCTCGGTCGGGTAAAGATGAGATTTTCATTCTCCCCAGTCTAACTCACATGCTCACAGAACAGGATGCACCTCCACAAGGGGTGGCAAATGGAATACATTTAGGACAGGCTACAAAATTAAATCAAATAGAAATAATGTTATTATAAACATATTCCTCAGAACTACATAATTCATTCTCCTGAAATAGATATTACAGATATATCAATCCTTTCAATTTCAACTGCATCAAATGCCCTCCAGATGGCGCTTCTAGTCTTGCTGCTTAAAGACCCAGCATTTCACAGGTTTCAGGAAAGACTAGCTCTTCTTTAAGGACATAACTGATTCTTCAAAAGAATCCCCACATTGGGAAACTGCAAACACAGTAATAGGGGATACAAATCAGCCTTTATGAATAGACAAATAGTCTTTATTCCAGCAACACAAACACAAGCATTTTGAATATACAGTATTTATAAATCACATGAATTTCTCGCAAATTTAGCTGGGTATCGAAACCCAAATGTGGCTGAATAAAATTGAACTATGAATTAAATAAATATATAATATTACATAAAATAATGTTCATCAGTTCAGACGGGAAGACTACCTTTAGATGTATTTATTATCAATTTGCTCACACTCCTCAACTGCTGTATGTAAAAGGGTTTATTGCTTGTTTATTAGTTCATCAATCTTTAAAACAGACCACTGATCAGAAGAGTATAACATATAAGGAGGATTGCATTTTAAGACATGTACGGCTCATTCTGTTTGAATTATGTAACACATCAGTCAAATATATTGCTCAGTATAAACTAGAATAAACATAGTTTAATGAGAACAACCATAAAAGGTAGAGCTGGTCCAGCCTCGATCCCTGCTCCAGGTGCTGATGTGATGGTCTTTACTCCAGCAAACACTCAGAAGGAGCCGGTCCTTCCTCACTCCTTTCTGCAATAGTGTGTTCCAGAACTGCATAAAGGTCTCCTATCATGCTAATTTTAGGCATATATTATAGGTCTCAGATATATACAAATATATAAAAAAACATGTCTATGAAGTGTTTTACTCAAAAATACAGATCACCCATTCTAGCCATGCCTCTATTTCAGCCCTGTTAGTGCTGATTAGTGGGTATAAAGGTTAAAAAAAGAAAAAAGAGAGAGGGCGGAGCTTATGCCTGCTCGTGCGAGAGAATTCTACCGGCAGATACTCAGGTAAATGCGGCCTTGATTAAACGCCATATCATGTTCCAAACCACATCAAGGATTATGTCTGAAACAGTACGGAGCTCAAATGCTTTTTCTCTTGCAAGTTTACCACAAGGTGAGTTCCTTTTTATATCCTGCTTCTTTACACATACTCTCTCCAGTACAGGTTAGCTCTGAGTGTTAGCGATGCTTGCTAATGTAAATAAATACCATATTACTTCCAAAACGTTGTGCATTGTTTCTGATAGGGCCGTGGGCGTAAAGCCAGTCCACATTTCCGATATTACGTCATATCGGCAGCAAATCTGGATCAGCTCCATTGAACCCCCATTTTTAGAGATTTGCGCACGGAGGAAAAGAGAGAGGGTTTTATTTCTGAGTGCATTTTGCATGATAGGAGACCTTTAACATTTGCTGCCCTCCTCGTCGTCTTCCTGTCCTCACACAATGGTGACATGTCTGTGCTTCCTGAAGGCGGGTTTATCCACAGTGATGTAAGCATTTCCTGTGTGGGTACTGTTCACAACATCAGGCATCTAAAAACCAAAAGCAAGATTCGTTATTAAAGTAATTGGCTTCTTAAAGATAGCAAAGATTTCCAGCTATAACTCTCTTTCTCTTAAACATAATATCTGTATGATAGGCATATTCCTCCGAGGCAGATCCGGGCCCAGGTTTAAAGCCGTCGTCTGATAGCCAGCAGCGCTTGCCGGCTCCAAAAATGTATATATATATATACTGTATATATATATATATAAACGGCTATCACACAATGATGGCAACAAGTATCTACTGTTTTAAACAATGTGTGACCGCATTCTTCTTCTAAACTTAGCTAAAAATAACTCTGACGCAGTTTGCCATTGTTTCTATTGCGAGAAACAATTTGGGCTTGGGTCGCTGGGAATTGCAGCAACGTTAACTATGACATCTTGAACTGCACCTACACTGAAAAAACTGAACCGTTGACTTTAATGAAATGTATTAAGTCAACACATTTCCCATAACTGTATTAGGTTAGTTGAAAGCAACATTATTAAGTTGAACCTAATATTTTTTATTTAAACTTGCTTTCAACTAATACAGTTGTGTAAATTCTGTTGACATTATATTTAATTAAAATTAACATTTCAGTTGTTTCAGTGTATTGAGCTCTTGTCGGTGGAAAAGAAAAGTGATTCTCACAAAGGTTGCAAGTCAAACCAACTACTAACCGACACTAGCACGGAAGTCAAAACGGAACTCAGTTCAGTGGGAAAAGTTTATAAGGGGTGTCTTATTATTCTTGTCCCCATGACCTAACCACATGCCAACATTAAGCTGCTCCTAATGCTTATCACTGTGTACCTCTGAACAATATCTCAAAAACCTTACCTCAGAAAAAGTGGAGCCATTTGCCGGGAAAAAGCCGCTGTCAGTGAGGTCAGTGGGAGCGACACCTTTGAACGGAGAAGAGAGACAGGACAGACTTCATTTCTCACGGGTAGATTATACTGTAGCTTGGTGGGGCAGGTATCAAATAGGTATCAAGCTTGTGTGTGTTTGTGTGCATGCAAGTTTGAGTCTTACTTGTTTGACCCTCTGGCACATATCCTGTGTTCTCCTGGCCCTGATTCTGTCCCGCTCCGACAGTACTGATCTGGCTCTGAGTCCTCACTCTTCTGCTGCACATACATGATTGATAACAGAGGACACATGTAGATGCTGTGATACAACAATAACATGCTGTTGTTAAGAGTAGTGACAAAATATCCATCTTACCTCATTTCATCTTCGTATTTGGTTTCTGAGGATTGTCAACAACAAATGACTTAAAGTTAATGTGATACTGTTTGCTGAAGACTATAGGTTTGACTTCTTTAGTGATTTTGGATATACTGTATTGTGGAGCTTTATACCAATATAATTTGTTACCAATATATTGATGCCTTACTTTTTTCTTTCCTCTTTTTGTAGCAGAAGATTATTCCAATGATGAGCAAAACCAGCAGAGCAAAAGATCCAATGGACACAACCACAGCTATCAGCACGGTCCAGTCCGTAGGCTTTGGAACTGTTAGAGAAGACACTCAAAGACTTAAGACATTTCATTGTCAAATTAATGTGTCAAATTGATAATACTGAACACATCCAAAATGAGAGGCAAAACATTCCCTTTATGAGGACACACTGAAAGCACAGACTAATTGTGCACATACATTTTCATTTTCTCCAATACCTTTTGTTTGGATGGGAGAATTGTGGTGAAGGATTATTACATCATACAGTATTTAGAGCCTGAATGGAGGAGGCTGATGTGAGAATTAAGTCTAACATATTTCAAATGGGCAGTATGCAGGTTTGCACCTTGCAGTCAGACACTGAGGCGTCTCCTTAATCCACCACTGTAAAAATCTCTTCCAAATGGGCTTAATGGAAATGGATGCATACCCTATTACTTGTGCTGCTCCTCCATCGTGGACAGCATGTTATCCATGTTGGAAGCTGTACACTAATGGATGTTGCTTTTAGTGTAATTCTATCAGGTATTGTTTTTTATTCAATTAAGATCTGGTTTTATCAGATTATTCTTCAGTTACATAGGTTCAGGAGTAGAGATGGTCTTTTTGCAGCTTCTCAAACATTCCTAAATCATGGATTAAGAAGTGTACATTATTGCAACTGAGAGGTAATAAAGACATCAACTCATCCTTATATCTACCATCATCTTTAGGTAAAATATATAATTCGTCTTTGGAATACCATCAAAACTAATGATATTCCCGTCAGCCTCAGCAGTTTTCTGTTGTAGTTAGCAATTATTTATTTATTTTAAGATTTTTTTGGGCCAGATTAGCCTTTATTGGAGATGACAGTGTTGAAAGGAGGAGACAGGATAGGCCTAAAAAACACTCTATAGTGTACAATTAGACTTGGTTTTATTGATACTACCACTAGGCAACCAACCTTTTAACTCCATACTCTAGTTTTGAGGAAAACTAACTAAGCAACAAAACTATTGGACTTGTCCAACTTCAGAACAGCTGAGAGGAGGCTTTTTTGCAAGACACATTGAGAGTGTGGCGGATCTTACCAACCACCAAGTAGACGGAGCTGGATTGTGGGCTGGCTAGTGGCACAGTCGCCCGGCACTCTATCTGGGTGTCTCTGACTGCCTGGAACTTCAGGACACTGGTGCAGTTGAAGAAATCCCCGTCAGCCATGCTGGTGGTGTTGTACAGGCTGCTGTTCACAGCCTCAGAGTTCCAGGTCCAGCTGACAGTAGGTATGGGGAACCATTTGAACGATACACACTGGAACTCCACCTGCTCGTCCTGCGCCACCGTCACATTTCCTCCCATGATGTTCACGGTACCACTCTCTGAGAAATACATGTAATTAATAAATGTACATGGAAAGTAAATATTATAATAAAAAAGTGTAGAATATACAACACTTACTTACACACACACGTTTTCTCACACACGTGACATGTTTGCATTGGCATGATGTATGTATGTATGTATGGTTTTGTTTCAGCCAGTTATGCATTAAATGTTTTTAAATTGTGTAATAGTTTCTGTTGGTATGAAAAATATGTGTTCCTTCTACTGAGAAATATGGCTGGCTAAAAGAAGTTTAGTGCTAAGCCACCCTGCATTTAGCATTTACTTGTCTTTCAAAGACTAATGGACACATTGCAGCTGGAGCAAGATCGATGGTTTAAGGACATCTGACTTTGGACCTGAGAGTTCTTGCTGGTCTCTATCTTATTAGGATGTTTTTATGAACTAGAGGTGCAAGGACATTTTGAGCCTCGTATACAAGTGGTAGAATTGTAAGATCAATCCTTGTTTTAACTTAGAGCCAAGGGAAAGATCTAAGAGCAAGTACTTATACAATTTAGTTCCAGTATGAACAAGTTCAGCCGCATTTAGCTGGAGTCACCACAATAGTGAATCAAATATTATAGTTGTAGACTGCTGTGTATTACCCCTGTACAGTCTATGGTAGGGGTCGGCAACAGGCGGACCGCGGTCCGGATCCGGACCCAGACGCCAACCTATACGGACCCGGAGCTATAATCAATACATTAATAGGGGATTTTTCGGCGCCTCCCGCTTTTTTAACGCTGATTTGGGTGACTTGTGTAATTCGTGGAGAACCGAAGAGTTTTGGTTTTGGGGGTGGGGAGTCTGTCCGTCCGTCAGTCTGACTGACGGACAACTTTTCACTTCAAAAAAGAAGAAGAAATCTAGACCGCAAAAATAATTAAACAAGCGAGTAGGCCTACCTATTTTTCCTGGCCAAGGACAGGTTCCATGAACACAACACGAGCGTAACGTGTCTTCACGTGGTATATGTCTCGTCTGAAAGGAGTGCTGACAGAGAGCACCGGAACGCCGCTCCAGCCCTTAAAATATTGCAATACCCATAAGGAGCCGTACACATGCCGCAGTGTTTGTGTGGCTGTGTCTTTAGTTGTAAGCACAGTGGCGATCTGTTGTTATTAGCATCTGGTTAGCTAGCTATGCTAACGAATTTAAAGAGCTGTTCTACAACCAGGTGGAAGAGAGCTCTCTCCTGAGAGGCTCAAATAACCTCAGCTCAGTGAGGTTAAGGCACACCTTGATATGATCAATATAGTTATTAATGAGACTAAATGAAAAACAGGTATAAAATACTATATGACAGTAACAAAAAAGTTGTTAAAAATAACAAGAATATAGTTGAAAAGGGGAGTGATTTGTAAAATATCCAAAAATAAAAATATGCTTACAGTTCTGTTTCATATGGGTGTTGAGAGATGTATCCATAGATCTCTTAATGTTGCTCTCAAAGTGCACCAGATTGATGCTTTTAACTTCAATATTCAAAACAAAATCTTCCTGGGGGAGCATGCCCCCGGACCCCCCTAGAGGAGGTCTAGGTCCCCCCCACTTAAATCATGTTCACATGGATAGGATACTAAATACATTTGCACACATCTTGTGTCCATATCTTTCTGTGTTGGTGGTCATGCCACACCGTGCACGTGCATGCATACGTGAGTCATGGTGAGATATCTGGATTAAGAGGTTGCTTTTTCTTTGCACAGAATGAAAGAAAGGCGAAATGAATGGGCTGTGATTTTAGTGTTTTTAAGCAGAGGTTGAGTTCAATAATTTGTACGACCCTCGGAGGATGTTGTAAAAATTGAAAGGAAAAAGGTTCCCCACCCCTGCTGTAAATAATAATAAAAACCCTTGATTTTTAATTTAACATCTCTGTCTCCTATTGATCTGAGTATATTATAAAGAATAGCAGTTCATTGAAGCATTGAAGCACAGGCCTTTGTCAGATGGTATATTACGCTGTTTATTTCTGCTTCGAATAGTTCTCTCTTTTTTCACCATACCTGTGTTTGCATCACTGAAACCAATGAGCATCTGCATGTGTGTGAGAATGGCCCTGACTCCATTTCAGCCCAGATTTACAAACTCCTGGCAGGACAAGCTCAATTCTCACATTGAATTTAAAAAAAGTGAGTGAGGGACTGCAATATAAGAGGGAAAGAAAGAGAAACTTTAAAACTGTTAAATTGTTATGATGTGTAAAGACTGATATTGTTCTATAATCGTCTGAAACTGTTAAGTCATGAAGTGAAACGGTTAACAAAGAAAAAGGGAAACTCAAGCTGCTGCTACACTTTATTTTATTTATCTAAAATTAAGCACTTTTAAGATGCACATATTTTCAAAAGCTATTTTATTTATTTTCTCTATTTTATTTTTAAATGCAGCCCGAGATGAACATTACACATATCCACAGTATTTTACTGTATATCTGTAGAGTTCAATGTTAATTGACAATACATATTGTTGTTTATGAATTGTACTTTCTTTATTTGATTGGCAGTCAGTTGTTGATTACATGCAGACGTTGATAAAGCTACAGGTCACTTCAATATATATCACACTAATTCATGAAGCAAGTTAGACATTTTGATCTTCCGGACCTTTGCATGGGGAGATTTTCTCTAACTGGACCTCGTTGAATTTTAGTTGAAGACCCCTGGTCTATGGGATTACCCCTTTTTCACTCAAATAAACTCCTTTCTTGTTTCATGCTGGGGTTGGTGTTAGTTCGCAGTTGGTTCAATTTGCGAAACACCTGGTTCCAGTTTGCTTTTCCACCTATCAGAGCCCAAAAAGAGCAACATTGTGATGTCTTGTTGCTACATTTCAAGCAAGCCAGCATAAATGTACACACAATAGTTAAAATGGCAGACTTCCTCGGAGCTGTGAACAATTTGCTCTTATACTTACTAAAACAGATTGAATCACAAGCACGACTTCTCCAACAACTTTATACTCTTTTTCAAAGTGCCGCTAAGTTTGAGAAGAGTCTAATGGTATTTCACTATAAATCAGAGGCAGATGCTTGTGCCTGGATGCATCCATTGTGGTAATATATTGTCTTATCAGTTTATCGATAAATTGTTACAGGTGGCCTGTGGAACTGCCAGTCAGCTGTTCCTAAGGCTGACTTCATCTCTGGCTACGCTTCCCTACAGTCTCTGGATTTCCTTGCTCTCACTGAGACGTGGATTACTCCATCCAATACATCCACCCCAGCAGCTCTCTCCACAGCATATTCCTTCTCCCATACACCCAGACCCACTGGCAGAGGAGGTGGCACTGGTCTCCTGCTCTCTCCCAAATGGAGCTTTTCCCTCTTCAAGCTACCTAACTTCACTCCTTCCACCTTTGAATTCCATGCCGTCACAGTAACCCATCCTATACAATTAACCATTGTTGTTCTCTACCGTCCACCAGGCGCCTTGGGGGACTTCTTGGAGGAATTAGATCATCTCCTCTCACACATCCCTGAAACTGGTCCTCCCGCTGTACTTCTCGGAGACTTCAACCTCCAGACGGGGAAGATAGACAAACTAACATCTCTGTTAACCACCTTTGCTTTCTCACTGTCTCCATTCCCACCAACTCATAAAGCTGGCAATGTCCTTGATCTCATATTCTCAAGGAACTGCACTACTTCTAACCTCTGTGTAAACCCGCTCCACACATCCGATCACTTCTTAATTTCATTCTCTCTACCCCTTTCCAAACATAACAAACTAATCTCTTCTCATCCTGCACCTGTCCGCCGTAACCTTCGCTCCCTCTCCCCCTCTACCTTTGCCTCATCTGTGCTCTCAGCCCTCCCTTCCTCTGACTCGTTCCAACTCCTACCTCCAAACTCTGCTGCAGAAACTCTCCTCTCTACTCTCTCATCCTCTCTGGATTCTCTCTGTCCTCTCACATCTCGGCAGGCTCGTCAGTCCCCTCCTGCTCCCTGGCTAAATGACGCACTGCGTGCTAATAGAACCATCCTTCGGGCAGCAGAGCGGAAACGGTGGAAATCCAAACACCATGACGACCTCCTAACCTATCAGGCTCTCCTCTCCTCTTTCTCTGCTTCGATCTCTCAGGCAAAAAGCACTTTCTTTCAAGATAAGATCCAATCTTCCTATTCCAATCCCAAAAAACTATTTTCCATCTTTTCCACCCTCTGGACCCTATCCCCTCAAACCTCCTTCAGACTATCGCTCCTGATATTCTACCGTTTCTCACCCATTTCATCAACACTTCTCTAACTTCTGGTCACTTTCCAAACACTCTCAAGGAGGCAAGAGTAAACCCTCTCCTAAAGAAACCCACTCTCAACCCGTCTGATGTTATAAACTACAGGCCTGTCTCTCTCCTCCCGTTCCTGTCTAAAACACTTGAACGCGCTGTCTTTAAACAACTCTCCTGTTATCTCCATCAGAACAACCTTCTGGATCCGCACCAGTCTGGTTTCAAGGCAGGTCACTCAACAGAAACTGCCCTCCTTGCTGTCTCTGAGGAACTGCACACTGCTAAAGCAGCCTCCCTCTCCTCTGTCATCCTTTTGGACCTGTCTGCTGCATTCGACACGGTGAATCATCAGATCCTCCTTCGCACTCTCCAAAGACTTGGAGTTTCAGGCTCTGCACTTTCCCTCCGCACCTCATACCTCAAAGACCGTACCTACAGGGTAACTTGGAGAGGGTCGGAGTCCGACCCTTGTCAATTAACTACAGGGGTCCCTCAGGGCTCTGTTCTTAGTCCCCTCCTCTTCTCCCTGTACACAAACTTGCTCGGATCAGTCATTAGCCCGCATGGTTTTTCATACCACTGCTACGCTGACGACACCCAATTAATTCTGTCCTTTCCCCGCTCAGAGACCCAGGTCGTCGCACGCATCTCTGCTAGTCTAGCTGACATCTCTCAGTGGATGTCTACTCACCACCTCAAGCTCAACCTTGATAAGACTGAACTGCTTTTCCTTCCGGGAAAAGAGTGTCCCACTCTTGACCTAATCAATCAATCAATCAATGTTTATTTATATAGCCCAATATCACAAATGTTACATTTGTCTCAGTGGACTTTACAGTTTGTACAAAATATCAGTATGACAATACGACACCCTCTGTCCTTAGACCCTCACATCGTACAAGGAAAAACTTCCGAAGAAAACCCACAGTTTAAAGGGAAAAATGGGAGAAACCTCAGGGAGAGCAACAGAGGAGGGATCCCTCTCCCAGGACGGACAGACGTGCAATAGATGCCGTGTGTAAATTGAAAAGATAATACATTTGCAACATAGGTAGTCCAAATGTTTGGAAATGCATGTGTGTATAATAGGAAGATGAATCCACGAGGATATCCATCCAGGACCTATGATCCAGGACCACAGCCACGACTCAAGATCCAGGACAGAGGAGCGCAGGATCATCCATGACTCCGGATCCCGGCGTATACAGACACCAAAAAGAAAGACATTTGGGGAAGCTGGGTTAATCGGAACATGAGAGTACACAGGTATAGACAGAGAGAAGGAAGAAGTAAGATGTCCCCCGACAAACTAAGCCTATATCAGCAAAACTAGGGGCTGAATCTAATCAGCCCTAACTATAAGCTTTATCAAAAAGGAAGGTCTTAAGCGCACTCTTAAAAACGGATAGGGTGTCTGCCGCCCGAACACAAACTGGAAGCTGATTCCACAAATGTGGAGCTTGATAAGAAAAGGCTCTGGCTCCCATTGTACTTTTAGAGACTCTAGGAACAACCAACAACCCTGCATTCTTGGAACGCAATGCCCTAGTAGGACAGTAGGGTATAATGAGTTCTTTAAGGTAAGATGGCGCCTGCCCATTAAGGGCTTTGTAGGCGAGAAGAAGAATTTTAAATTCTATCCTGTGTTCTATAGGGAGCCAGTGTAAGGCAGCCAGAACAGGAGTAATGTGGTCCCTTTTCCTAACTCTGGTTAGTACACGAGCTGCAGCATTTTGAATCAGCTGAAGCGACTTGACTGACTTCTTGGTACACCCTGATAATAAAGAGTTACAATAATCCAGCCTTGAAGTAACAAATGCATGGACTAGTTTCTCTGCATCGTTTTGAGGCAAGATATGCTTGATTTTTGCAATGTTACGTAGATGGAAGTAGGCGGTCCTTGAAATTGATTTTATGTGGGCGTTAAAGGATAAATCCTGATCAAATATAACACCAAGATTCCTTACAGTCTCACTGGAGGCCAAATTAATGCCATCCATGGTTAATATATCCTTAGATAATTTGTTTCGTAGATTCTTCGGGCCAAGTACAATAACTTCAGTTTTGGTCGTGTTTAACATCAAAAAGTTTAAGGTCATCCACGTTTTTAAGTCCTTAAGGCAGTCTTGAATTTTATTTAGATGATTAATTTCATTAATTAACAATCAACATCGGCACCTCTATTCTTTCCCCGACTCAAACTGCAAGGAATCTGGGTGTGACCCTAGATAACAAACTGTCAACATCGCTGCTACAACCCGCTGCTGCAGATACACGCTTTACAACATCAGGAGGATACGTCCCCAGAAAGCGACGCAGGTTCTGGCCCAGGCTCTCGTCATCTCACACCTAGACTACTGCACCTCCCTCCTGGCTGGTCTACCTGCATGTGCCATCCGACCTCTGCAGCTCATCCAGAATGCAGCGGCTCGTCTGGTCTTCAACCTTCCAAAATGTTCCCACACCACGCCGCTCCTCCGCTCCCTTCACTGGCTTCCAGTAACTGCTAGAATCCACTTCAAGACACTGGTACTAGCGTACCATGCTGCGAATGGATCTGGCCCTTCCTACATCCAGGACATGGTTAAACTGTACACCCCAGCACGTGCACTCCGCTCTGCATCAGCCAAACAGCTCGCTGCACCCGCACTGCGAGGGGGACCCAAGTTCCCATCAGCAAAAACACGTGGGTTTGCTATCCTGGCTCCAAAATGGTGGAATGAGCTCCCCATTGAAATCAGGACAGCAGATAGCTTACACATCTTCCGGCGCAGACTGAAAACTCATCTCTTTCGACTCCACTTCGAGCTATATAATTACTAACAAAGCACTTATATACTAATAAAGGACTGGCTTATCTAAAGCCAGTTGAGTAGCACTTGAAATGTTTTGGCTCTATGAAACCTGATGTACTTATATGATTCTGTTTTCTTCAAGTTTGTATCTTCTTGGTCGAATGCACATATTGTAAGTCGCTTTGGATAAAAGCGTCAGCTAAATGTAATGTAATGTAGTGTACTTTTCACGATGATTTAGCTCCTGATAGTCTTATATGACAACTTGTTTGTGTATTTATTACACCTGATACTTCATCAAAAAAAGCAAATAAACAGCTTATGCTACTGTAACAGGTTGATATGGGTATTTTCTAACCGACTTACACCACAATAGTAGCGGATGGGGACGTTTTTCAAAGTATGGTGAATGATAAATAATTGTCATGCATGAATATTCAAAAGCATTCCAATGTTTTTTTCTGATGGAGAAAGGGACACAAATGTGTTTTATTTAGCCACAGCTGATGTTATATTATAGACTTCTTTCTGTGGACTGATATGACTGCACATCTTCAGTGATGAAATCCCTTCACCAGAGCATCCTCAGCAGCCGTCTGCCAGACCGCTGAATGTCCAAATTGACCAATCAGAATAGAGTATTCAATGGAACCCTGTAATGAACTTATATAACTGCAGCCGGACATCTTAATGGCCCTACCTTGTACGTAGAGCTGTGCCGTCTTTGAGCCATAGTTCCCCTGCACAGAGCAGGTGACGGCCCCCCCCCTCGCTGCGGGTCACGTTCTGGATGGTGAACTCCACACAGCTGGTGTCACCGCTGGAGCAGAATCTGGCAGAGAACTGCTCTGAGAAGGAGATGATTTCACCGATGTCAGAGACAGTGGTTACCATAAGGCCTCCCACACTCCAGGTCATGACTTTCCATGCTCCTTGCACGGTGGCGTTGAATCGCACAGCAGAACCGTGGAGCACTGTGGCATTCAGCGGCTCTAGCTGGAACTGTTCTGACACAGCTGAAAAAAGAGAGGATTGCTTTGAGTCAAATCTATGACCGACCAAATACTGTATCTTTAGTCTATGGCACAGGGGTCAAGCAGGAATTTTATAAAGACTGGACATATTTGTTCAACTGAACATCGTCATGTGTGTTGTGATGACTGAAGTCTGTCTACCATTGCTGTTGCATTGCATTGATTTGATGATCCTATGTACAATAAATACATTCATGTTAGTTTAACTCAATTATTTATGCCGCCTTTTATTTGTGTAATTGATTAAATTGACAGAATACAAATTCAAGGTTAGATTGGAAGGTTTATTTTAAGGTCACCTATTCTGCAAAATCCACTTTTTCATGTCTTTTATGTAAGGGATAATGTGCAGCGAGGCGGTCATTATGGGGAAAAGAACACCCTTCATGCTGATCAAGCATGCTGATCTAGATCCCTCCGCTTCGCGTCGGGCTCCTGAACAACCTGTCGGGTGTTCTTTTCCCCATAATGACCAAGTCGCTGCACATTATCCCGCTTATTACAAGGGCACATTCTCAACAAAGTAACGATATGACTCCCATTATTAATTGAAATGCTTTTATAGATTTAGAAAATGTTTTTATTGATTAAAAAAATTGTTGATTTTAAAATGACATGCATCTGCTAAGACAAATAGTCCGTTATTACTGTTTGAACCACGTAGCAACGGCAGGAACTGCTTCGATAGCATTTTTGCGGACCTTTTTGATTACAGATTTGAAAACATCGTTGCTTGCTTTAAAAGTAGCACAATTCATGATGTCAAACCTTGGAAAGTATCTAGATATCCCTGCCCTAATGCCAAAGGAACTGGCAACTGAATATATTTTGCCGTTTGATGTCTATGTCTGGACCGCTGCGTAAAAAGGAGGGTTTCTGCCCCATTACTTCTCCGCTGTTTTCTTATCTTGTCAGTTTCAAAAGGAAGTTTGCTTTTCGGCCAAACTGTATACAGTTAAATCGATCGGACTTCTTTCTGCAGATGTGAGCGTCCTTAACAACGGTCAATAAATCCTTGACAGCGGTCTGTCTGTACTGGATTAACAACGTGTCACGTGTTCTGAATTGACCAATCAGAATCGAGTATTCAACTAAGCCATGTAATAAACATAAATATGTGTCCCCTCTGTGTAAAGAGATTCTGAAAGTTTCAGGACATTTTTGTTGTTGTCCTGCTCCATTTCTATAAAAACCTGAAAATGAGCTGATCAGATTTTGGCCACTTTATGATGTCATAAAGTTTTTTGGCTTGTATAACCATTAGCCAATCACAAACCAAGGTAACACCCCCCACCTTATCACCTGAATCTCCTCCAAGAGCATTTTTATCTAAAGTAACAGACCCAGAATCAGCATTTTTGTAACAAGGCTGAAATATGAGGCATGGCATGTTTTGTATATATCTGAGACTTTGATGAAAAACAGTATAATAGGGGACCTTTAAACGACAGGATTATTGCCTTATTGTTAATTTTAGTTGCTTTTGTTTTGTTTTTTTGGTTTATACCAAAAATATGCAGTTTCAATAGGCTCTCAACAAAAATGTATTCTGACATTTTGAACACTACATATCCATATCCTTAAATATGTAATAATTTGATTGAGCCCTCCCCATAAAGAGTTGAATTTCTGTATGCTTCTACAGGTTTTGAGTGCAGCACATTGCAGGTGCTCACATTCATTGGTTATTCATGCAATGTGAGAAGCAAAAGAGAGAAATATGTCGTAATAGTGTCAGTGATTTAAATCTGTTCAGCAACTCTGTTTGAGCTCGTCCTTCAGGACAAAGGTAGGCTGCATAGTATGGCACATAACACTCTTTGTTCAAAACTGTGCTTAAGTTTGCTCAGAGTAAATACATATCACAAAGGAAAAGTTCTGCAAGTGGACTGATACTCAAACACATCATTAATGTGGGCTCAGATTACACATACTGACATAGAGTTTAAGAATATGTCTGGATGTGTTCTTGAATCATTTGTGAGTAAGCAGAATGCCATTTTCTCTGTGTTGAAATTTTGATGAGAATTTCTGATTATATTTCAAACAGTCTGGTTTGCTTTAGCTTTCTTTGTTCAAGGCAGTATTAAGGATAATGATAGTCACTATTAGAAACCCTCAGCAAACATGTTAGACCTGTTGTGGTGTTCAGAGAGTGCTACTCTGGTGATAAAGTGCTTTTAAGAATTGTTTGCGATGTAATTCAAAACCAGTACACTGAAAAAACTGAAACATTAACTTGAATATTATCATTATTATTATTATGGCAACAGATTTCACAAAACTGTACCAGGTTAGTTGAAAGCAATTATATTAAGTTATAAATAAAAAAAGATTAGGTTCAACTCATTTGTATTGATTTCAACTAACCTAATACAGTGAGGTGAAATATGTTGACATAATACATTTAATTCAAATCAACGGTTCAGTTCAATTTTCGGACTCATTTAATTCATTCTCATCAGGAGTCGATACAAGAGATTCAAGCAATGGAATTTCCCCACAGGGATCAATGCAGTTTAATATAGCCCTTCTGTAAGACCGTTTACCTTACCTATTAAAATGCCAGTAAATTGTGCTATTAAATTACTGAATTTTCATAAATCCCATGTGGAAAATAAGCTTTATTTCGGTAGAATATTTTTATTTTTGTGATCAATTCTGTCCAGTTTAGGAGATTTGTATAGACTTGAAAAATGAGTTCTGACCTCCGGTTGCAGACAGCAATAAACAGACGAGGAGGAGGTTGGGCTGTGATCTCCAGGAAGCGCTCATGTTGTTGTTGTTGTTGTTCCTGAGGTCCAGAGTCCTATAGAATTGAGAAAAAGCTATGAATAATAATGCACATATCTTGGTTGGAATGAACTAAACTGAAAACTGGAAGGCAATTCAATTAAAACTTCAGCGGTGAATGCCAGAGAAAGTGACAGAAGGACATGATGATTTTACAACTACATTAATAGATGGCAAAATAAATATATATTGGGAAGATAACCTAAAATAAATGGCCTAAACTCAGCCATCATTTCTCTAAATCAGAGCAGAGGCACCAAGAAAATTACAATAATATACTCAATGACCAGCTTGGAGACAATGACTTTCAAAGTTCAACATTATTTGAAAAACTGTGCAAAATCTACAAGTATCCTCTTTCAGGCAAAAATGAGAATCCCTAAATAAAGAATTAGCCAGTTTTATTTCCCATGTTGTTGTAACTTACTCAATACAAAACCCGACAGATAACATTGTCGTCACTCCTTTATAGCCTTCCATACTTTGCTAGTGTTGGTATTAAAACAATCGTCTCAGTAGATGAATTACCTGCCTTCATAACTAAATATTCCTCAGAAGTAAAAGCACCTTCAGTTAAAACAACTTACCGACGACGAGCTCCCGGTGAGTGTTTGCATCAAAGCATCATTTCCTGAAACAGCAGGTGAGCAGCAGGACTCCACCCAACTGTAAAGCTCTCACACAGGGAGTAAGGTCCAGCCCTTATCACCTCACCACACCTGTAGTTCAGTGCTGTGTGTGTGTGTGTGTGTGTGTGTGTGTGTGTGTGTGTGTGTGTGTGTGTGTGTGTGTGTGTGTGTGTGTGTGTGTGTGTGTGTGTGTGTGTGTGTGTGTGTGTGTGTGTGTGTGTGTGTGTGTGTGTGTGTGTGTGTGTGTGTGTGTGTGTGTGTGTGTGTGTGTGTGTGTGTGTGTGTGAGGCTTTCACCTAGTGGCAGGATGCACTCAACACAGCTTTATTCCATGGTGCATTTAGTCTTAAGTCCGATGCAATGTTCACTTTATTCTTCCACATTTTCCAGCTCATTCTGTTGTGTGCTATTATTCTAAAATGATAAACAAGTGATTAAGGGTTAGTCATGTTTTACAGTGTCATTAATTAGAAATCCTGAATATTTAGAAAACAAAAGTTCCCAACACCATTTTAGTGAAGAAAGGTGTTTGATAAATAATAATAAACTGAAGATGACATTCTCATTGGCAGCTGGTTCTGACTGGGTGATGTTTTTCATCTCAACCACTAGAGGTCACTATAGAATCATGCTGTGCTTTGTATTTGCGGGCATTTTAAAATCACTTTATAATTTCATTGTATTAAATCTTCACTAATCATTCGGTCATGTTTACCATAAGGTGCCACATGTGTTTTTATTGGACAAACATAGATTCAAATGCAATGCAACTACGTAATACATTACAAATGATTTCAACATGGCATTAATTGCATGTTTCAATACAAAAACATCCATAATATCTTATTAATACTAATACAAAACTTTATGTATTTTAATAATAATGCTTTAAATCGTAGTACAATGTAAACTTTTTTTATTTAATTTGTTATGTTTGTATAAATATTTGTATTTTATTTAATTCAATTATTTTTGGACATTTTGCTTTAAATTCTGATGTTTATATAGATATTATTTATTTTATTTTTATTGCAAACTTATTTGATTGTCTTGTGTTTATCTAAATATTTTAATTCTATTATTTTTGATTTATGTTGTATTTATTTTTGTTCTAAAATGAAGTCATGAAACCCAGTTTCCCATGGATAAATATATTTTTCTGATGATTGTTGTACATTTTAAGTATGTAGCAACCAATGTGTTATGTGTTCAGAATTGCATCGTGACTCATACACAATTTATATCACATGATTTGTATGGTTTGAGGTTTCTTACTTGATTAGTTTGCATTTAATATGTTTGAAGTGCAATGCGTGAATAAGAGTATTAATGAGCGCACACTGAAGCTGGAGAACTAACAGACAGCTGCAGCAGATCTCACATGGCGCTCAGAGAAGATGTCCGCATGTAGGCCTATCTGTCATGCTCTGTTCCTCAGGAGGGCAGCAGTAGGAGCTGGAATGTCTCCAGACACAGCTGGTATTGTATAGGCAGAAGCGAACAGACAACCATGAAAAACAGGAAGTAGATGGTGGGGGAGGGTCAGCAGCAGCCGTCCCTCTGGTCCCCTGCATAGGGCCCGTGATGGGAGTCATTCAGAGGGCCCCGTCTGCTCCCAGAGCTGCGTGTCAGAGATCATGGGCCATAACTCATCATGGATGCTCGTCTTTGTTCGCCTCCTTGGCTTCTGGGGCATCCTTTTATTTCATGTTATTGTTTGCAATCTCAGATTAGTTCCATTGACTTGCCCCCATTCTCTTAGAGAGTAAGGTGCTACATATTTCACACAAAAAAAGGCAAGTCTTCGGAGCATAGTTAATTGTCTTTGTGGGATTTGTTTTGGTTTTGAGAGCTGCTTGTTAATCAATGGTTAAAGCCGACGGAGGTTTATCGTTACTGAGCTTATTAGGCTCACCTCCTCCTTCTCCTGCTGTACATGAAATGACTTTTTCTCTCCTTCTTATGGCGCGTTTCCACTGCAGGCCTCGCTCGGCCTCGCTCGGTTTGGTTAGGCCTTATTAGGCCCGGCTCACTTTAATGCTGCGCTTCCATTACAGTTTAGGAACTGGGGCAGTTACTATAGTAACGCAGTGTAGGCGGAGCCGTGACGTAATCTTCAATGAGAGCCCCAGAAAAACAACACAGCCGTTAGCTCTTAGCACTCAGAGCTCACAGCTCCTCGTATCTGTTCAGAAACTAGACACAAGTTAAACAAGTACAAACCACAGACTGCCTGTGTCATGGCGAATACAGTCGCTGGTTTATTAATGTCAGTATAGGCCGTTGTTGTGAGTGTGGACGGTCTGAGCATATATAACGTTAGCTTAGCCAAGCTACATTTAGAAAAAGGGTTTTTCGCCTGCCGTCTGTCTGCAGACTTGTCAAAGCATTAATTCATGGTTTTTACTAACCGGTATCGGTATGTTGTTACTTCGGCATCATTTTGAAACGTGTATTACAATTAAATCACGGTCAAATATGTTCATCTTGTTGTAGTTGTAGCCCCCTTGCCAGCGATTCTCTCTCTAGTTTAGCATACTCAGCCCGACTCAGAGACAGACCGAAGGGGAGTACTCTGTATTCATAACAGATCCCCTGAAATGCGAATCTCAGATATTTCCTGTGTGGGTAATATACTGGGATGTGAAAATACGCATCTTTCAGGTCGACTGATGTGAACCAGTCGTCTTGTCGCACGAGCCGCAGCAGAGATGTGTGAGTGAGCATTCTGAACTTATATCTTCTTAGATATTTGTTCAGAGCCCCCAAAACTAGGCCAAGTGGAAACGCAACCAAAAACGGGCCCCGCACGGCTCGGCACGCTTAAAGCGAGCTACCCGCTGCAGTGGAAACGCGCTATACGACTACAACACATTCCTTATTTTGTTTGTAATAACTGCATGTGACACTTGTGTCCAAAAAATAAAGAGGGAGGTAGCAGGCTAGCAGTGGCGGCGCCAGAGATTTTCTCTAGGGGGTGCTGTGGGGTAGCTTGACGTTTCATAGAGGGTGCTCAAACATTAAGGGTTTCCCATTAATGTACCAGCACTACAGTTGAATTTTCTACTGCAACACTCCCCACACGCACACACAGTGTACCCGCGACTGTTACAATGAAGGCTCGATAATCAGCTCACGGCATATAGGTGTAAGCAGGGGTAAGGTGCTATTTTTACAAGTGGGGGGTGGACCTCACCTCCTCTAGGAGGGACCTCACCTCCTCTAATGGGGTCCGGGGGCATGCTTCCCCTGGAAGATTTTTTTAAATATTGAAGTTAAAAGCATCAATCTGGTGTTGTTTGAGAGCAACATTAAGAGATCTATGGATATACTGTATCTCTCAACACCCATATGAAACAGAACTGTAAACAGATTTTCTATTTCTTAATAGATATTTTACAAATCACTCCCCTTTTAAAACAAACCGTTTGAGACCCACTGAGATAACTAGACTAAAGTTAACTATCTAAACGCTGAGAGTCCTTTACTTCACCTGAGCTGAGGTTATCTGAGACTCTCAGTCTGACAGGAGAGAGTTCTCCCTCCACCTTGTTGTTGAAAAAGCTCCTTATATCCGTTAGCTTGGCTAGCTAGCACCAGATGCTAACCACAACGATCTCCAGTAGATACACACCGGTGCGCGAGCTCTCTCTCTCGCTCGCTCGCGCACGCACACAAAATGGTGCCACACACACACAGAGCAGAGCTTGAATTAAACACAGAGACCCAGAACTAAGCTACTTGTACTCACGAGGCTATGCTATTATGTGCAGAATCCCTCTCGCTTTCAGGTGGTTTTGATTGAGTGTCCACACGTGGACGTTTAAGGACTAAAAAATGATAAATTGTTCACTTTGCTGTTAGCAAATAATTTGGCACTCTAGCTAACAACTCAAGTGTCACAAAGTAATTTAGCCTATGGATAGGTAAAAAATCGAATGGGTGCTGGCCATTGGCCTAATCATATCACCTGTGTTGGCTTTATGTTTTTGGTCAAAAATGTGTTTCTTTCACATTTGCATTGATGTAATCAATAATATCCTGGGCAATCCTGGGGGGTGCTTCAGCACCCCCTAGCTCCCCCCTGGCGCCGCCCCTGCAGGCTAGTATCATTAATAGTCTACATATGTTGTATACTTTATTGCAAAACTCAATATTTAATGTTATTTTGGTCTTTTATCTCCTTCTATTTTACATTTATATTTCCTGCATTTTAGTTGCAAGAGAATGCAACTAAAATGCAATTTTCTTTTAATATTTATTCTTGCACTATACTTGTATATTGTATGTTACATTGTTGGAGGAGTCTCGGACTTAAGATGTAATAGCCAAAACTACGCTGTAGCTGTTGTGCAAATGATAATAATAGCTTTAAATTGGAATTTGTAGTGGAATACAAGTATCATCTTTAAATGACATGTACTCCGTTCATTAAAAAAAATGCTAGCATAGTTTCTGTATAAATTGGTGTGGTTTATGCTGTGGACTATTCTCTGGTTCTGTAGCCCCCCTTACACAAACTGGTGTAATCTGGCTTTACCTGCTGCTCCATATGGGAAGGTTGCATTCACTGCATGGGAGGAATCCACTTAGTAAGAGAGAAGGATCTATCTGCCTGCAGCAAAATATACATATTACACCGCCTTGACCCATGGTTGCTTCACAGGGCGTAGTAATGACACACAACTTCTCTGTTCATGGTCTACAAGACTTAAGCAGTTTCTATACTGTTGTAAAGTGTGTTTGTGAATAAGATACATGATAAAGTTGCCTTCTGCTAAAGAGGCTTTGGATGAGGTCACCTTTATCTTCAGCCTGTCACCTTTCCCTGGGGATTATGCCAATGTCTCTGTTCCAGGTTCCTGAGACAATTCCAACTGAGGTCACTTTGCGTTATAACCGCTCTCTGTGTACATGTTGTCTGTGTTGTCATCAGAGGTGGAAGAAGTACTCAGATATTGTACTGAAGTAAAAGTTGCAG